ATACAAAGCTATAAAAATTAGAAGTTTTCAAACTTTAGGCAAAAAAGGGGGAGGGGCACTTAAAAATGATGCTGTTTTGCTTGAGTGATTCCTGGCTACAGTCTTTGTTTTATAAATTAAAGGGCTAGAGGTTCCGAAATTTTAATTAATTAATTAATTAATTAATTAATTAATTAATTAATTAATTTGAGACAGGGTTTCTCTGGATAGCCTTGGCTGTCCTAAAACTCACTATATAGAGCAGGCTGGCCTCAGAACTCACAGAGATTCATCTGTCTCTGCCTCCTGAGTGCTGAGATTAAAGGCATGTGCCATCACTGTCCAGTCCAAGTTCGAGAATTTTGATACAAGATCAGAAAATACCTCAAACTTGCTGACACACACACATTGTGACTGAAAGGGTATTACAGCTAAACGAAGAATTAGAAACAATACAGAATCCATGGTAGGTGTTTAGAAGTCAGGCACACGGGCACTGGAGAGGGGAAGCATCTTGGGAAAATATTAATTAAGTGCTAGGCATTGTTGCAATCTAGACTGTACAGACAGGGAATCTTACAGCCAGCAAGTAGTCTGATGGTATTATCTTTTTCTAAGACAATTTATTTTTTATTTATGTACATATGTATGTTACCTCTTGTGTGCAGGTACTAAAAGAGATGGAGCAGTAGTGGTTGTTAAGTCTCCTGATGTGGGTGCTGGGAAACAAACTCTGTTCTCTGGAAGACTAGCAAGTACTCTGAACTGCTGAGTCATCTCTCAAGACCTTAAAGGAATCCTTAAAAAAAAAAAAAAAATCAGCTGGGCAGTGGTGGTGCAGGCCTTTAATCCTAGCACTCAAGACACAGAGCCAGAGGGATCTCTGTGAGTTCAAGATCAGCCTGGTCTACAGAGTGAGATCTAGGACAGAGAAACTATAACTATACAGAGAAACCCTGTCTCGAAAAACAAAAAACAAACAACAACAACAAAAAATCCAATTAACACTGATTTCATAAATCAGACCTAACAACAGAGATCTCATCAATCTCCTGTGAAGATTAATTCTGTAGAAGGAAGTTTATGAATTCGCTTCCATGTTCTATCTTAACCTTAACTGACGGCAAAACACCTGATCACTTAGTTACAAATACCAAGTGGCAGGAAGAAAAGCTAGGTTCAAAAAGTTCCTAGAATGTATGCGCACAGTTTTTCAAAGTAACAGGGAGACTCACTAGGAATGGGCCTCCTCAGTTTTCAGACTAATTGTTACCTAAATGTTAAATACGTTCAGAATGTTGATTGTATCAGTTTCATATACCAAGAATACTTATGTCCTGTTAATTATTTTAAAGTGCTCCAGGCGGGGCGGTGGTGGCGCACGCCTTTAATCCCAGCACTTGGGAGGCAGAGGCAGGTGGATCTCTGTGAGTTCGCGGCCAGCCTGGGCTACTGAGTGAGTTTCAGAAAAGGCGCAAAGATACACAGAGAAACCCTGTCTCAAAAAAAAAAAAAAAGTGCTCCATACCAGACACGCCTGTGCAGGAAACTGCTGAGCCACTTATTGGCCCACCCGAGTGGTACACGCCTTTGATTCCAAGCACACACAAAGGCAGAGGGAGGAGGACCTCTGTGAGTTCAAGGCCAGCCTGGTCTAAAAGCTCGATACGCAGTCCTCGATGTCCTGAAACTTGCTATGTAGACCTTGACTCAAAATGTTAAGGCAGAGAATGGAGCTGGTGTTGAAATCCCACACATGCCTTTAGGTTATGCAGAGGCAGATGGCTTTCTGAGTTTTGAGGCCAGCCAGGTCTACAAAGGGATTCCGGAATAGCCAGGGCTACAGAGAGAAACTTTGTCTCAAAAACAAACAAACAAACAAACAAACAAATCCCAAAAGCAAAAAACAAAACAAAAAACCCAAAATCTCAAAACCAACAACGAACAAATCCAAGAGAAATCTCTCGACAGACTTTTTTTTTTTCCAGACAGGTTCCTCTGTGTAGTTTTGCACCTTTCCTGGAACTCACTCTATCCCAGGTTAGCCTCGCACTCAAGAGATCCGCCTGGCTCTGCCTCCCGAGTGCTGGGATTTAAGGCGTGGGCCACCACCCGCTCAGCTGAGAGAGACCCTTTTATGTTCAGTTTCTCAGTATTCATGGCCTTCTGTCTTTTCCAATTCCTTCCCCGAGGTCGTAGGAGACAGGCTGTATCCTCTCCTTGTTCTGCTAGGCTTTGCTGTTTCTTTTTTTTCTTTTTAAATTTATTTATTTATTTATTTTTTGTTGTTGTTCCCCAAATCCCCAGGACCAGGAAAAGTGGCACTGTAAACCCTGCCTACGGAACATTCCGTGAAACACGGATGCAAAAGCAGGATTTGCTTGGATGTCACAGGTCAAACTGCTCATGAGTTGCGCTCCAAGATACGGACCAACTCTTGTAAGGGACAGGCCAGGCAAGTTGGTGAGTCAGGGGCAAGGGTTTCAGAGGTGGTTAGTCACTATGTGCTGGCCAATGTGCAAATCACAGTACTTTGATAACATTACAAAACAAAAGCAATGCAATTGTCGGGGAGTCCACAATCTAGTGGGTTGGATCCGAGTTTCGTTTTCTTTTCCCGTCGTTTCTACCACCCTAAGAAGTCACGTCAAGATCACGAGAGATGGTAGGAGGCTGAATCTTTGCGGGGTGTGTGTGTGTGTGTTACTGTAGCCAAAGCACGTTATAGCCTCCATCTGTAGAGACAGGAGTTCCTAATTCAGGAGCGAGCACCAAGCTTTCACCCCCTTCAGACGTCGACACCCAACTTTACCGGGTCTATCCTTGGCAAAGAGGCGCGAAACTTCCTCTCCGTCTGACCTCCGCGCTCGCGAATCAAAAGATGACTCCGCATTTCAAACTGTCCCAAGCCCTGACCGCGCGCGCGCGGGGGCCGGAAGCCGGGCCACGTGACGTGCCCTCCCGAGAGCCGGTACCCCCCACCTCCACCCCCACCCCCCAAGGCTACTCCACGCCTCATCTCCACCAGGGAGGTCGGACGCCCACCCGAAGCGGTGCTAGGTACCCTGGAACCCGGGAGGGTGGAGGTAGGGAGGGTGGTAGTGGTGGTGGGGGGTGGTGGTCACTAAATAACCAGCGTCCTCCAGTCCCATCGCCCCGGCGGCCACCTCCTCCCGGCACGGCACGCCAACCCCCCCATCCCCCCCCGGAACGCTTCCGCCAGCCGTGTGCCCCGCCACGTGATCACGCGAGACTTGGAAAAGGCGGCGGCAGTAGCAGCAGCGGCGGCGGCAGCGCGCCTTCTTTACTCTAGTCTCCCCCCCGCCCCCGCCTCCGGCCCCGCCCACAAGGCCCCGCCCACCACCACGGCCCCGCCCACCACCACCACCACCACCCGCTCTTCCAGGGCCAGCGACGCCCCGGGCGCGCGTGCGCACGCGGCTCTCG